AAAAAAAAAAAAAAAAAAAAAAAAAAAACAAAGAACTTGTAAATATTATTTTATTTCAACAATATAAACATCAAAGAAAAAGATAAAAAAATAAGAATTGCAGAAGTACTAAAAAACAAACTTATCTTTTAAGTAACATTAGTACTAAAAAGACTAAATATAATTTTAATAAACTAGCTTATTAATAAAGCAGATAACAGAATGATTTTCTAACATCAACTTAAATTATTAAAAAAAAAATTAAGCAAAAGTAAACCAGCTAGCTAGTTTAAAAAAATTAAAGAAATGATATTAGAAAACAAGAACAATAGACAATTAAAACCTGAATATGTATTACCAAATAGAAACAAAAAAGCACTTCAAACATCACTTAATAGTTGCTCAAAAGACAATAGAAAAAGAAAATAGATAGTACTAAAATCAAAAAAAGAAAAAGAAACTAATAACTTGATAATAAAAAAGATAGTTATAAATATATCAAAGAAAGTACTTATAAAGCATTAGAAGATAAAGTTTGTTAAAAGCAAAATAAACCAAGTTCTTAAAAAATATGAAGAATGTAGTCTTAATTATATAAAAGAACTAAAAGGTTGTAAAAAATAAAGTAATAAAAAAGAAGTTTAAGATTTGTTGTCAAGATTTATCAAAAAAGATAAAAAGTTATTGTTTGTAATAAACAAAAAAATAATATATAGCTGATAGCAAGAAAGCAGTACTAAAATAAATAAGTCTGAAACTCAGCTCAAAGATATAATATGCTATGATCTAGACATAAATTTTTTTTTTTTTTTTTTAAGCCAATGTTATCAGTTGCTACCACCTTTATTTGTGTTTTTGGTTAATGCATTACATGTGACTTGTACAAGGAAGTGTGCAACTAGCCATACATGTAACTTTTGGTTACCTATTTAAGTAGTCCGCCCAAGGGTTTTACACTAGTTGCCATGCCTGTAACCTACTATAAGAGTACCTATTTAAACACTCTAATCCTTATACTACACTCAGATGAGTAATATCTGATTTCTGTACAACTAAGTGCTGTCTTACTCAATATTTAGCTTTCTTTTTTGTACATCTGTCAAGCTGTTAAACATTTCAGAATATGTCACCTGACTATAAGATTCCAGGATACTCTCTTGTTAACTACCTATCCACTCTACGAAACATTAACAAGGCTAGCCCTTGTAGAATTCATCCAAACCCCAGCACCTACTTCACAGCATATTCCTAGTACTTATAGTATACCTCTGCTTTGATCCCAGACTTCCAATCCAGATAGCCTAATAGGACTGTAACCTGTTCTTGATATATTGAGCCAGCCCAATATTCTTTTTCTTCAGTTCAGTTCTGGCGGCCTGATTAATAATACCCCTCACCTGAGGTTCTTGCCTATCTAGCTCTTCCACATTGGTATCTGTTTCTTAGACCTAGCCTTTACAGTGGTACCATTGAAGATTTATGTTACCTTTCTACTTAGGTCTTTTCAAGTAGGCTCCAGTTTCCCAGTTCTACAGATTTACACAGCACAAGGACTTATTTTAGGTTTGTACTGCTTGGTACTGGTTTGCATTCCTCTGTGTAACCAAGGTTACACAGATGCCCTGTGACCTGCCAGTCATGCTGGTGTGACCATAGTTACAGGTATCCTATCCCAACTGATCAACAGAATGCTGTTACCATAATACCATCTATGTATTACATAAGTGATTATTCAAATTTTTACTGTTGCTGGGTTTTGAACTCACAACCTACCACTTTGAGAGGTTGACAACTTATACACTTCACTAAGTCACCATACTCCAGACATAAAATTAATTAAAAAAACAGTAACTGAGTAAAGAGCTAAAAGAACCTTTTATTTTTAAGAATTAAAAAAACTAATTAAATTCAAATAAAGAACTTACTTTTATATAAATAGTTCACTTAAGAAATCAGTAACAGAGGATATGGCAACCTAGTAAAGTAGTCAGGTTGTTAACTTTCCAAGTGGTAGATTAGATGTTCAAATACTATTAATGATAAAAATTTGGATAATTGCCTATCAGTTAGACGACATGTCATACAAAATTGATCAACTATAAATTTATACTAATTTTTTAATAATATATAAAGATCGTTACATAATAAAATATTTAGCTTTACTAATAAATATATTTTTCTCTTCTAAGAAAACTTGATGTCTGTATATTTATACTACAGAAAAATAATTTATTTGATCTTTTTAATGCACTTGTTTTTTAAATAATAATGACTAAAGATCGGTAAGCATTTTTTTTTCTTTCTTAAGATTATTTTCGAATATGTAAAATAAAAAAGTAAAAAGTAGTTGAGAAGGTTGAAACTTGCATGATCTTTAAGAAACCATTTTTTTTAATAGACATTACTTTGTAGATTCGGGAGTAACTAATGTACAATGATTGTACTATATATTCAGTTCCAATCAACACACAGACAATAACTTTATAGACACCACATTTCACCAACAATTATTCACCGACAGTTTATTTCACCGAAGCTCATTACACAAACAAAATAGTTTTAGCTATTGTCGTTAGGGCCAGATTAGAATTAGAGTTAAACTTAGCGCAATATATAATAAAAAACTTGTTAGTGAAATGAGCTTTGGTGAAATGAACTTGTCGGTAAATAATTGTCAGTAAAATGTGGTGTTAATGAAGTAATTGTCGACAAAATAATACGGATCCAGGAAAATAGTACTTCGGGGTTTCAATTATATTTTATGCTGGACATAATCTTTAATAAATTAGATAAATTGTGTCTGATACAAAATATAATTGAAGGTCTGAAGTTACATTTTCCCCTGATAGCATTCATATAAAAAAGGTAAAATTTCATAGAATGTTGTTTTAAAGTTAATATAAAAATTAAACTTCCATTAATATATAATTTATTCATGTAACAAAGAGTCAGATTCGTTATTAAATAAAAAAATTTCAATAGTTCGCTAAGCAAAATCAAGAATTTTAAGCCATTACAAAACTGTAAATTTCAAGATTTTTGAAATTGTATTAAAAAGAATGCCGTGGCTGAAATACTATTGGTAATAGTTGTTTAAACATTTTTATAATTATGATATATCTTCTATACTCCTTTTTTTTTTATTTTGAGCAGCTTTTTTTCTCCCAATAAGATAAGGTATTATATTCTTTTCTGCTCATCCTTTTGCAATACATGTCTCCTGTTTTAAAATATCTTGTTTGACAATATTCATAATTCTAATTACTTCTTTGTTATAACAGGTAAACATACGTTCATATCCACTAGGTGTTAGTTGGTCAGAGATTTCAAACAGTGGATGCTTTTTGGACTCATCAGAGAAAATTGCTTTAGAAAGTTTATTTACTAATTTCCATAACACTTCTTTACGGTTAACCTCTGCATGTGTAGATTTGCTTATACAGGTATTAGTTACATATTCTGCATGCAATGCCATCAATTGATCTCTTTCGTTTTGAGTTGCCTTAATTACTAATTTTAAGTTTTCTGGATCAGTTGGGCATCCAGTCATATTTTGTTTAACAAATTTTACACCAAAGCACTTAAGTGCTTCATCAAATGTGAAAAAGTGTTCATCTGCGATAAGATTTATAGACCCAACTATCTGAAGTTTTGCCTTTAGTACTGGATTTGTTTCTACTGTCATCAAGAAACATGGCACTGATTCAGCATATCTTCTTTTTCCAGTGATGGGAAATAGTGGCGCAAAAGCTTTCAAATGTTCATGCTGAACTTCAAAATTACCCATTCGAATGCCAATTTTGTGAAGCTTGAGCCAACCTGCTCACTGATAATATAGGAGCCAAATTTTTAAAATATTGTTGCTTTCATTTTTGATATCTTCTAGTGTTATGCAATTGTCATTCATATATTTATGAATGACAATTGCTACTGCAGCCCAGATAAGTTCAAGAACACAAAATGTTGCATGATAATCAACAACATCCTGAAGTTTTTCTAGAAAATTTGTACCAAGTACAAATGCTAGTCCAAATAATCCATATCTGGAAAAGGCGACAATTAAAGCACTACACATATCCTTGCTTGTATGCCACTGACCAAGGATAGGATTTAACTTTAATTAATTATTGGAATAATCTGTAAGTCTGTAAAAAATGGCCTCATCACATACAATGTCTAACGAGTCACCTTGATTTAATTTCAGGTCTTCTATATACATTTCACAAGTTTTATGTACTGCAAGGTTACTGTTTGGTGCTGGTCCAGCTTCTAAGATAACGACTGTTGGAGGAGAAACATTGCATCCTTTTTCCACTGCTTCTTTGAGTGCTGTATTTATTTCACCCATAGCAAATCCTAATGGATATTCCGTAATTAATTGGTTAAAGATCTGAGTAAGCTTTTCTGTTTACTGTTTCACAACTAGATTTTTTCTACACAAATTAATATCAGTTGTTGAAGGTGCTATGTCGAGGTCAGGCATTTCGAACTAAAAAACTATGTGCAAAGTAGCATAAGCTGTATCTCGAGTATCATCATATAGATTACCAGCTCTAAATGTTTTTCCTTTAAAATCGATATTGTCTATTACCGCCAAGTTCCAAATATTTGAACCTGATTTTATTTTTTCTTGCATATTTGCTTCTAACATGCATTTCTTTTGAACCTTTACCTTGTAATCTTTTGAATATGCTACTACATTTGCCGCACAAAGAATACTACGCAAGTATGATGCAAGCTTTGGCCGTTCACAAAAAGATCCAATCACTTGTAGAAGCCAAAATTTCCAACCTCTAAATGCGATTGTTAGAATTATAGAAGACAAAAATGCAGTGCTTTTTATTACTTCAC